TCACTGATTAGGTCATCCCCTGTAGCCAGTACCAGGTTGAGTAGCGCTTTGCCTCTCATTGGCCCATAGACTTCTTGAGTCACGTAGAGGTCATCCACATACGAGAGGAAGCTTTGCGACCGCCCAGATTTTGCTGAGTGATCCTCCCATGAGATGTCCGGGTAATTGAAGTCACTCATGACAACCATGGTCCTGGAGCATGTGGCCTCAGCTAAACAAAATTGGGTGAAACAAAATGAAATCAAACTTGCAAATGTCAGATGCTACACCTTTGGAAGAAAAGAAAACAAAACAGATATGCAAATAATGGTATTGTGAATAACAAGGGAAGATTCTCTTATGTGGTGAGAATGATAAAAAGGTCTGAATGCAATCGATATGAAGAAAGGTTGAAGGAACTAGTTGTGTTTAGTTTGAAGTACAATTTTCAAATATATGAAAGGCTGTCATAAAGAAGTTGAGGGAACTTTGTTCTCCTTTGTTACAGAGGCAATGAGTTCAAATTACAGCAAAACAACTTTAGATACAAAATTAGGAAGAAAATTCCAAACTGTGAAAAAAGTAGGGTCATGGAAAAAACAGCCTAGAATAATTGTAAAATCTTCTTCATTGGTGGTTTTCAAGATGAAGCTTGAGAGAAACCTATCCTGGATGAGTTTAGGAAAAGTGAATCTGGTATATGTGTAAGTGGAAAGACTTGACAGTTTAAATCTCTTTCCAACCCAATGATTCTGTGACAGACTGTCCTGAAGTAAATTCCCTTGTGGAAAATAACCTCCAGCTAGCATAAGTGTACTCTCTCAGTTGTACATTCTTACTCTTGGTATTAGTGGCCAGTTGTGAGAAGGAAGGGTTGTATCATGGTTAGACTGGAGTGGGAAGTAAATTTAGTGGAAGTCTACCTTCCAGTAGCTGTCCTCCACTTGTGTAGGCCCATTAAGCACTATGGCTAAGTACAGACAGTCAAAAAGCCCAAGGCTGAATCAATTCAGTGTTTGCAGGTTAGTCTAAACTGTGTAGATTGAACTGATAAGTTAACAGACATTTACTTTTGATTCTGAAAATATAGCCACGTGCTGCTAAAGCATGCCTCCCTGACTGGCTGGTGAAGACAACTTGGGCCAAGGCTAGCCCAGCTACCTTGCAAGAGGGATTTGTGGGAGAGGTGCAAAGCATCCTGGGATGCTGGGTTACATGAATCTGGAAGGGATTTGGGATAGAAATTCAGTAAACTGATTTAACTTAGTTTCATAGTTTCATAGTTTCTAGGGTTGGAAGGGACCTGTGTAGAACATCTAGTCCGACCCCCTGCCATGGCAGGAAAGAGTACTGGGGTCAAACGACCCCAGCAAGGTGTTCATCTAACCTCCTCTTAAAAACCCCCAGGGTAGGAGCCTGCACCACTTCTCTTGGAAGTTGGTTCCAGATCCTAGCCACCCTGACTATGAAGTAGCGCCTCCTGATATCAAGCCTAAACCTACCCTCTGCCAGCTTGTGACTGTT